GGTCCGTGTTGCTGTTGCTATGCAAGATGCTGATCAGACTTCACCTGGGGAAGAGAACTGTGCTCATTTCTAGCCAAGAAAGCTTAATTTAAAGTGCAAGTAAGAACAAGCTCATAGGATAACCTACAAGCTATGGAGAGCTCACAAAGTATGAGGGGTTAGTTAAGCAAAGTGAAGTCTATACTCAAGGGAAATAGACAGCAGGGAGGAAGAACAGCTTCAGCTAAAGCTGCACTGGCACAGGGACAAGAGGATATAAACAAGCTGTGAATCCATTTAAGCTGGAAATTAGAAAAACTTTCTAACCACTACAGCAGTCAGGTTCTGGGGCAGCCTGCCAAGGGGACTAGTGAGGACAGTAAAATTAACAGGTTTTGCTTGGCGCTTGAGAAGCTGTCACAAGGGTTTATGAGACAGTACTGGTAAAGGATCACACTCGGTCACCAGGAGCCTAATTCTCATTTTGGCCCCCACGAAACAGATCATCCATCTTCTCGTGCTTCAAACCCAGTGCTGAATTCTTCAGAGGCAGATGCAGGGAAATCTGCAGGAAACAGGGCAAAGCCTCTCCAAAACCATTTTCTCCTGATCAGAAGGGGCTGGAGCTTCACTTTTGTGCCTTGGAGCAAGAGGGTGTAGAGTCACTTCTAATGCATGCACAAATGCCACAGTAATTCTGGATGTTCTTGTTACCTGTGTAAGGGTCACAGCTCTTGAATCCAGGTGACATTTCGATATCTATTGAATTCATTGCAACATGAGTATAACTGCACATTGCACAAAGAGTTCTGTTGCAAATGAACTCCTTTCCTTGGCAGTGGCAGGGCTGGCCACCAACAACCAAAAATCCAGACAAAAATCCAGCCCAGCCCTATGCTGCAGCAGGGATGCTCGTGAAAAACTGCAGCAGCCCTGAAGAGAAAGCATCCAAAAGGTGAGTGGCTGAGAAACCAGTAGAGAAAATAGGCTGGTTTTGTTGGTTTTTATTTTTTTCCTGAGTATTGCGTATTGCATCTAAGCAGTGACTAGTACTCTAGGAAAAGGCATGAGGAAAGAGCCCGGGAGGTGGGAACACAGGCTGACACCAAGGGGCGGATGGCAGAGAGGGAAAGGGGTCACAGAAGGAAAATGAGCAGCTATCTCAAGGCACTGAAAGGAGATAAGAAGGATGTCAGAGATCTGAGACATGCATTTGCAGCTGCTGACATGGACTGTGGGATTCTTCTGATGGCTCTACCTTGCTCTGTGTCATAGTCCTGCAGAGCCAAGGAGGCTGGTCCAGCTGTGGCAAGAGGCAGGCACAACCCTCAGCGGCTGCTGTTGGCAGGGAGATTTTCTAAGAAGGTGCAGCCCCTTGGGAAGTGAATCGGGACACCCACCTATTTGTATCAGTTCACCCAGCAGACCAGACTGTCAGGTACTTGCTTTCCACAAAAATTCTTCGGAGGGGAGGTGAGCAAATGTCCCGTAGGAGCAGAGGCAAGGCGTCCCTTTGTGAAGCTCTGGGGGACCACACAGCCAGATACACAGATACTTTCCCACACACCAGCCCTCCTCTTTGTCAAAAAAACCCCAAGAAACAAACCCTTAAATGACTCATTTGGAGAACAGTGGCAAGGGCAGCGCCAGCAACTTCCACAAACAAAATGTTGGCTCCCTTTGAGGGGAGCCCTGCTGGGAGATGGTATGCCCCAAGACTGCCTCTACCTCCACAAACCATTAAAAGATGGGGAGAACCTCCCACACGTCCTGCAGGGCATTTGCCCGCCTGAGATGCTTCTTAGCAGGTAGAGACAGGCACTGAAGCAGATGCTGGGCTGCTGGCGATGTTGTGTTTGTCACCCCCACCATCTCCAAGGGGAGCAGCAAGCTCCCCAGAAGAAATTGTTCCCCCATTAATGCAATAAGAAGGTTGCAGTGAATCACTGCACAAGAGTCACTATACTTGCTGAGCTAGGGCTGGCAGATCTCCTGCTCCTCAGGCTGGGACGAACACTTCTCCATACCCTCTCTTTACAATCCCCTAAGCCTCATTCTTTTGCCAGGTCTTAGGGTGTTGCATGTCAAGGTATTTCTGTTCTACTCTATTTGGGATCTGTTTTCTTAGTCTCTTCTTTGGGAAAAAGAACCAAAAGCAAAAAAAAAACAGAGTTAAAACACAAAGATATTTTAAATCAAAATGAAATTTTATTTTATGCTCAGTACTTATCTCACTCTTGCCATCTTCAAAGTGATTTATAAATGTTAACTAATTAATTAATCTTCACATCCTCTCTCACTGAAATTCAGAGTCACAGCTCAAGTGAGCAGGAAAATAAAAAGTGTGGTTTTCAGGTGAAGAACAAAGGGAAACCTATGCTCCTGCCTGCTGTTTCCCATCTGACATGGCAATTTGCAGCGATATTTTCATTCCACACTGCACACCTCTCATTTATTTTTCAGTCATACCAAAGGTCTGAAGTAATATTATATGGTACCTTCCACTTCCTTTTTCTTAATGGAGGTCTTAAAAGGTGCTCCGTGTGAAAAGTAAACAAACCAGAAGTCTGTCAGAGCTGTGCAGGTGCCCCTTGATCAAATACATTTAATCCCAAACTCTTCTGAAAACCACAACACGACCAGCTTTGAGAGGGGCAAAGAAGAATACAGGAAGGGAAAGCAAAGCCTGCGGTGACATTTGGCAAATGCCACAGCCAGAGAGTTGAGCTGGGCCTTGGAGAGGAGGGCAAGCTGGATGCCACAAAACAGAGTTAAGGCAGAAGGATTCAGGCAGACTCGCACCAGCTCTGATTGAACCAATCCTGGCGCTTCAGCACAGCCCAGAGCTGGTGTGACAAACGCCCTGGGACAACATGTTGGTCCATGCTCTGGCTGCTGTCATCCACACGAGGGGTTTTGTGCTCTCAAGACCGATGCCAGCATGTGCACAGAGCTCAGGTGCTGCTCCATCTCGCTGTGTGTCCTGCAGGGTGCTCACGTGCGATCGCATGGAGGTTTCAAGTGCTGTCTCAGGGATGCTTCCAACTCTGCTCCCAGGGCCCTGCAGCCTGGATTTAAACTGTGGATTCAGGATATTTAAAAAGACACTTTGTGCCTAATAGCCGCAGTGTGGTTAAAGAGCAAATCCCAACAGGTCAGAGAGGAGTCGAGACGCCTGGAACAAAGAGCTGGTGTGGCTGCTCTTCCTGAGCCACAGTGGGACTCTTGTGAGGCACAAATACCCTCCTCTGTTATTGGTATATTCAGCTCTCCCCAGAGGTGTCACCTCTTCCAGCCCAGCTCCTGCTGGACCTCTGATGGCTGTTAGGACATTTGCATTGTCCAGCTGCTCAGCTCCATCCGAGCCCTTTCTCCTCACTGCCCCACATCGCACCTCAACAGCTTTGCAAACAGCTCCTCTTTCGCAGGGTGCGAGGTGCCAGAGGCTTGGCAAGTGCTCAGGGCTCGCCAGGCATCCCCTCCCCTTTGGCACCTCTGTCCCAGATAGGCCCCTTCCAGGGAGCAGGAGACTGATGTGCGCAGCCGTGATTGCTTCTCGCAGACAGTTGCTAACAGTGAGCACGGAGACTTTCCTTGCCAAGTGAGACAGATGAAGGTGATGTGATGCGGAAGGCTCGAGGTAATTTAAACAAGCTGGAAGCATTGCAGCAACCCCTTTTCCTGCAGCTTATGGAAGACAGGACTCCCAATCACTGCAAATTAGTCAGACCTCCCTAGGTGGATTGAAACAACCCTGAGTCAGTTGCCCCCTTATGCGCTTCTGCAGCCAAATTTGCACTTCTCATCTGGACAACTTCACACCAAACCTCTCCTACTTAGCACCTCTGTGCCAGATGACTACAGCTAAAAGGGAATGATGCCTTGGGACACAGAGTCGGGGGGAGATGTGGGGCTGCCCAGGCTCTTGGAGATCTCAGCTGGTGACCACGGTCACTCCAGGATAGCTCAGCACATCCCTGCCACTGTCAGAGCCAGCTGGCATGTCCTGCCCTCTGACCTTACACACAGCGAAGGAAACCACTTAAATTTAATTTATGGGTTCAGGTTGACAGTGGTTCCCCACTGAAAGTCAGTGCTGTATTACCGCAGTCCAGATTTAGTACAACACTACCACTGAAACAAACGTGCTCTCACCATCCCTTCCCACCCCCGTAACAAGCTCTGCTGCCACCCACGCTGCCTCTGCTTTGGCTCTCACTTGTCTGCTCAGGGAGCTGACCCAGAAGAAAAACTCACCCAGGCCAACAAATTGGAGAGGCCCCCACATGGACAAAGATCAGGGCTTTCCCTCATCAGATTAATTTTCTGGTGTTTGGCTCATACACAGAAACGCAGGCTGTGTGAATCAAACTGTAGTGCTGGCACATGGAGAGGGGCAGAACCAAACAGCAGTGGGAGTTGCGGTGTCAACCAAGATCAGCAAAACAGTGACAGACACTTGGCGCTCATCTGACGACTTCAAGACACTCTCCAAGATGCTTCCTCTGAAGAATCTGATGGGGTTTTCTCTGGGCATCTCACAGAAGTCTTTTTTTTTTTTTCAACCAGATTCCAACATCACCCAAGAACGGCTCGAGGAGCATCTATACTGCCAAACCCACCCAGACGGGCATCAACTCTGTGACCTTTGACTCTGTCAGACAAGTCGCTGCATCCCTTTCCGTTTTGCCCACGGTCATGGGGTGCGTGGCATTGATGCAAATCAGAATTTTTACCTCAGCCTCCGCATCTTCCTCTGAGACTACCTGAAAAGTACCCGTTTTCAACACACCAGGTACGAATCAATCACACAAGCAACTATTTAGATCAGGTTTATGATTCATTCCTACTTTATATACTCTTAGCCCAAGAGAGGTACTGTGGCACTACCCTTTGGAAAGGGAAGGAAGTCTTTTGAGGATGCTCCATGCAGAAATGGTATGGAGACCCTGACTGACTTTGGAACATGCAGCATCAGTATATGAGACAGAGATACCACCACAGGAGCACAGGCTTGTATAGATATGTCCATAGAACTATATTTTTATTGTTTTATACATATTTATAATATATTTTTATATTTTTAAAAGAATCCCTTCAAAAACTACCCTCCCACCTAGCAAAACAAAGATAAACAATCAAAGACGGCAGCTTTATCCTGGAGCAAAGTATCCTACGGGGTCTCATAGAGCCAAAATGATTGCTGAGCACCAGTGCACTCTTCCCAAGCTTCCGTGACGCTCTGTGGGTGCGAAGGTGACTGACAACAGCTTTATGGCTCTTTAAATTGACCTGTCAAAAGACAGGGAGAGAGAAAGAAACACGTGGCCGTGGCGATGGAGGGTTGAGCAGTAGGGGAAAACAAAAGCAACACACACAACTGGAAGCTCAAGAGTGTGAAATGCTGTGATGAAAAGCAGGGAGACACTGCCTAAGAAGTCGGTAAAGAAGGTAAGAAGGAGAACAAACATGCAGGAGAATGAGTTGGTAAGATGGATCTCGGGAAGAAGCTCAGAAGCATCACACTTGGGACCATTGCTACCCTTCCATCCCCCAAATCTCTTCCTCTCACCCTCCCAGTTGTGAAGGGAGATCCAACTAGTTTGATTTAGACCAAATCTTCGCGCTGCCCCGGAGCCTGTGGAGAGAGGGGAAAAAACAAAAATTCAGAGTGGACACTCAAGCTCATCCCTGTCTGCCTTTTCTAAACACACACAAAGAGGAACAACTGTTCTTTTCAAGAGCAGAACACAAGGAAGCCTTTTGAACTCTGCTTCAAATCAAGAGCCGTAGAGATTTCAAGTTTGCGGGATCTCAAGGTTGCAGGAGAAAAGCTCAGCTGGAACCACATTTCTGACCAGCCCCTGCCCAGGGAGCAGACTCCTGCAGTCAGTAACCTCACCGTTCCGAAACACGGCTCCCTCCTGAACACAACAACACAGAGCGGCTCTGCTCATTTGCCCCCACTTCCTCACCCTTTGGCTTTGGAAGTTTTCTTGCTCGCCTGGCGCTGGTTGGTGCCAGGAGCCGGCTCCCTGAGCTCTGTTAAGTGCTGTTCCGGGTCTTGGGATGTGGCTGCTGCAGCGGCTGCTGTTGTCACTTTAATGGTTTTCTTCAGGTTTGCCACCTGCAACAGCAGAAAAGCAAGAACCAAGGAGCTTCGCAAGGGTTTGAGTTTGGGTTTTTTTTGTTTTGATTTAGGACTTCCTCAAGCACAACCCTCTGTGAGGGTGGTCTGGCCTAAAGAAAAAGTAATGCCTGACTTGAGCAAAGACTAACAACCATACGGTATTGGTTCCCATTATTTTAAGTGAAGGGCACTGGCCGCTCTCTCCTCGGCCCACTCACCTCACTCTCTATCTGCTGCTTAAGCGCCAGCTGCTGCTCTTTATGCTGGTTGGCCCGGCTAACCTGTTCTTCGATGCCTGACAAGACCACCTCGCAGCCCTGGCACCTGGAGAGAAGATGCAGAACTGAACGGGCCAGGTAATTTACATGGCATAGAAAGAAACGCGAAAGATGACAAGATTTCAACTCTAGAGGTCAAGAAGACCAGAAGGTGACAGCAACGCCAGGCAGGGATGACACAGGAGCAGGAGTCCAATGTAATAATGCAGTGACATTATTACCTGGGAGATGGATAAACAACAAACTGAGACAAGGTTAGGAACTACAGGTATAAACTCAGAAAGCCTCCTAACAGCAGCCAGGACAACACAAAGGTTGCTGTGGTCTTATCACCCCTTCAGTAACAAACGGGAATTTGGAAAATTCTTTTTGGAAAACTACTTTCCGCTGGAAAGTGGATCGAGTAGGCCACCTCCCAACACTACCCCTCAGCGAAATACAGAGGATCCGTTGGCCACTCCTGCAAGCATTTTTGGGGTGTCAGTATTGGGGTCTTCCTCCTCACCACTCCTGCAATGTGCGGGTGATGGTGCTTAGCTCCTCCCTCCGGATGTCCCTCCCAATGCTGTAATCCACCTCCAGGCGCTGGTTCCGCTGATCCAAGCTCCCTCGCAGAACATCTGCGTACACAGCCTCAATCACCAGGTCCTCCAGTTGCCGGACGTTCTTCAGCTGCAACTGCTCCAACAGCACCGAGTAGGGGATGCACTGTGGAAACATGACAGTAATGAGCACAAGGTAATCCCCACGGAAGAGGAACTCAGGGAAAAACAGGGCCACTACCTTGATCTTGGCAGCCAGAGTGACAACTGACAGATGCCTCAGCTTGTTCTTCTGAGCCTCTGTCAAGGGAGGGAGGTTTGCTGCTTCAGCTATTGTCAGGGAAAAGAACATGGTAGAAAAATTTATGCCTCATTTTCCATTTCCCAGCGCTGCAAAGAACCCTCTGCACCATCCTGTTTCTTTAAGCATCTGCACACCAATCCCCCAAGTGATGCTTTGTCTTGTCGAGCCATCCCCATTAACTCTCAGCTCAAAAGACCTTTTCTGAGCAGCCTTTCCCTTCCTCAGCCTCCAGTCATCTTCTCTAGCCATCCCATGCCTGCATGTCCCCCAGGTCTGCACGTCCCAGTGGATACCTAAGTCTTTCCCCTCGCCCCTCCAATACATTTTTGTCAAGGCATTCTTGGGCCCAAACCACCACCAGGCCTCTGTCGGGCCGTAGTGCCTAAGGAGGCACTGCTCCTGCTGCCGAGGGGGGCACTTGGGTCTACAAAGGCTGGGGCCTCGGGCAGGTTTTCTGCACCGAACGCCACCAGGAGGGGAAAGGGCCCTTAAACCGCGCTCTGCCGCCGCCGCCCCGGGGGCCTGGCCTCACCCAGGTAGTCCGCGTAGGTGCCGTAGGCGAAGATGGTCAAGAGGCGGAAGATGGGGGAGAACTCGCTGTC